GCCGATTTAGTCAATATATCCACAACAACCCAAATTGAATCACTACCCTTACAAGTCTTGGGCAAACTCATCACAAAATCTATAGAAATGTTATCTAACTTCCACTTGGGAATACTCAATGGTTGCATCAATCCAGACGACTTCTAATGCTCAATCTTTGACTTCTGACAAGTCAAACAAGAATACACAAACTTCACAAAATTCTTCTCCATACATGGACACCAAAACATCTTTTTAAGGTCTTGATACATTTTAGTAGCTCTGTGACGAATACTCAAACTGCTTTTGTGACCTTCTTTAAGAAATCTTTTCTTAAGCTCTAGAAAATATGACACACAAACTCTATCTCATAAATTAATAACCTCATTCTCATCTACTATGAAATATTCTTCTTGACCTCGATGGATCAACACCAAATGATCTATCAATCTCAAATCCAACTTCTAACCTTCTTTTATTTCTTCGAGTACACCACTAGTCTACCTCAACATACTCAACTTCACACTTTGTGGCGTCCTCTCACACACCAAGATAAGATCGTTGAACTTCTCAATTAAATTCTACTTATCGAGCCACAAGCGCCAACATATGTAGAGACTTCTTACTTAAATCATCGACCACCGCATTTGCATTACCCGAATGGTAACTCAACCCAAAATCACGGTCCTTTAAAAATTTGAGCCATCTCCTCTACCTCATATTCAGTTTCTTCTAATCAAACAGGTACCTCATACTCTTATGATCGCTGAAAACCTCAAACCTTGAACCATGCAAACAATGAATACATACTTTCAGCATAAACACTACAACTGCCAATTCTAAATCATGGGTAGGATAATTCCTCACATGAATCTTAACTTGTCTTGAAGCATAAGCTACAACCTGACTGTTTTGCACAAGCACACCTCCTAAGCCCATCTTGGATGCATTACAATACAAAATAAAGTTTTCTTCACATTTGGAAAAATCTAAACAAATGTGTTGTACCCCAAAATTTTCCCTCTCATTTTACTCAATACATACTCCTAGAGGTCCTCAATTTGCTCAAGTTTGCCCAAGAGTTGACCAGACAAACTCTCTCCTAAGGCAGTGTGTCTCAAATTAGGGTTTCCACTTTCATCAATATGTGTGGATCACAAAGGCCCCAAATTCTTTCCAAGGTCCTAATATGTTCCCAAAATTCTCCATGTCAAATTGCAAGCCTTGCACAAGAAGTTTGCTCAGTCAACTGCTCAGATGCTTGAGAATCAACTAAACTAGGTCAAAAGTCAATTGTGGCTCACATACAGTCAAACTTCAAGATTTTTAGTCAACATCAACATTTTTAAGTGATATCCATCATTTTATCAAGGGTTGATCATGATTCCCCAAGAAATGCTCCTAACTCATCAAAACTCAAAAGTTGCTAAATTAGGGTCTCATAGGAAAAGTCAACCAAACTTTGACCAGACATAACTTCTTCATACTTTATCAGAAATTTTCCATCCAAGGCTCATTTTGAAGAGGATAAAATTCCCTACAACTCATCTTCATCCCACAAGTTTAAAATATGCACTCATCAAAAGATATGAATTTCTACATTATAGGTCCTTTTGAAAAGTCAACAAAAACACCTTTTGGGTCAAAGCTTCTTACATGAACATGGAAGAGCCAATTAAGGTGAAACCAATAGGGTTGTTTAGGGGACACCCTAAGATTTCTAAAAAGTCCAAGAACACCCTCTTAGGGTTAAAATTGAGGGAGATATGTATTGTTAAAATTGACCAATTTTTGGAAATGTGCATGAAGTCAATATTGACCAAAATGACTTTTTTCCAAATGGGCCCGTGTTTTCTTGTTTGAAACTGGTTCCTAAGATGGCCCACGACCCCTGAGCTTATCCACCTATTATTTTATTATTTTTATTATTTATTTTGATTTTTTATCCATTTAAATCAAAATAAATCAATTTAAATAGTAGAATAATCAAATAAAATCAAAGATTTGATTTTATGAGCATATTATGAGTCCATGAACAGCTAGAAAATCAAAAAATTCGTGCAAGAGCTAATTGATTAGAAAAGATCTTAATTTGGTCTATTTTGGAAACAAATCATACAAGGCAAATAATGAGATCAAATCTCCATAATTTGCAAAGATATGATCAGTTTTTGTTGACCTAAATCATTCTATCATATATACCTAACATCTCTAAAGCATAAAAGAGGGTTTGGGGTCGTGAAAACAAGGGGAAGAAATTGCAAATTTTGGAAGAAAAAGTGCAGACTGTATTCTCTTCCATAGGCCGTTTCAAGTAATTCCAAAGCCAACAATCTGTTCTTGGACGTGTTCTGAAGCCATTCCAATCATCCTCAAGCCTTAAAACCTTCAGAAATCACGCCTCACAGTGCCACGGTTTGCATCTTTTTTCAAGATTTGTTTTCAATGATTTATCCATCATAAACATGTTTTGATCATATATTCGTGCTTGCTATCATATTTGCAATGTTTTTGATTGGTTTGATTGAAGTTTAAGTGCATGAATGGCACGATGCCATTGTTAGGGTTTTGAGGTCCCAAATTGGGAATTCTATATAAAGGCAAAATTGGACAAAATTAGGGGTATTATCTAGGGGTGTTCGTGGTCCAGTTTGGATCGGTTTTGAGACAAAATATCATCCGATCCAAAAATATATAAAGCATACGGTTTGGTTCAGTTTTTGGATGACAACAAGAAAAATCCAATCCAATCCAATCCAATTTATACGGTTTACTTCGATTCGGTTGAATCGGTTTTATTCGGTTTTTAAACTAACACTATTTAGAAATTTAAAAAGAATATATTTCAATACCAGTTACAATTATGCCACCAACGTCTACTGAGAAAATATCTAATTGCTATGTTCATATGGCTATTTGATGTCATTATTGCAAAGTTTCATTATAATATATGTATAATATCTATCCCAACGAAATAGACATGGCTATAATATATAATATATATGGAGATATGCTTAGTTCTTATATGGAGATTTGTATTATAAATTAAATATATGACAAATATATAAAACAGTGAACAAATGAAGATTCCAAAGCTATATTAAAGCGAATATAATAATAAAACTTCAAGAAAAATATCAATAACAGTGGACATGCGAAAGTTGCATCACAAGGAATATATAATAATATTAATAATATGACAAACTGCATTATATATAGAGAGAAGATCTGCTTTATATATGACAGTATAATTGATAGTTTCAAAATCAGAGCCTGCAACATAATTGATAGTCAAATAACAAAATTTCTAATTATCCTGAAATAGCTCCACTCCAGCTTCACAATTCTACCCAATTCTTTTAGAATGCGGATATCAACAGCTAATCAGAGTCTATATCAGATACACCTTCATTCAATTGAGGGATTGGAGTAAGTTCTACAAAAATAAAGATAAATATTACTCAATATAAAAGATTAACAATGCTCAACAAAAAATAATATAAGTAATAAGTAAATTACCTAATTCCAAATTTTCTAACTCATCCACAAGCTCTTCAATATCCACCGACACCGGGGAAGATTTACACCAATTTTGTGTACAAATTAAAGCTTTAACTATTTTTGGCGTAAGAGAGCTTCTATAACAAGTAAGCACTCTTCCTCCAATAGAGAAAGCGGACTTTGAAGCTATAGTAGACACAGGCATGGCCAATATATCTCTAGCCATTTGACCAAGAATAGGATACTTGTTAGAATTCACCTTCCACCAGTTCAAGATATCAAAACTAGGACCTTTCTTCTCCAAATTCTCCATGAGATACAAATCCAATTCATTTTTCTGCATGCTCTTATTAAGATTCATGTCCATCTCAACCTCTAAAGCAAATGCATCCTCTGGTGCTTTAAGTTCTACCAATTCCACTTCTTGAGTGGAATGTGTAAGATTTTCAGTTTGACCGTTACCAAGGAAAAGCCTATAACTCTCAAATATTTTATTTAATGTCTCCTCTGTTTTTTTTTTACAAAGATACAACATCATTTGTATATGCCCTATTCAATCCCCACCTAACAAACTGCATCTTATGTCGAGGATCAAGCACAACAGCAACAAAGATCAACATATTCATTTTTTCAACCTTACCCCAATATTTATCATACTTAACTTTCATATTTTCAGCCATAATTCCAAGCAAGTTGTCAGAACTTTTTAATTTTATCCACCCGTTTAATGTAGTCAATATATTAATATGTTCATTAAAATATTGAGAAGAGGTCACAAAAGTACTACCTGAAACCTTCTTTGTGATATCAAAAAATATTTTCAAAAAATTAACAAAGCATTTTGCATTATCCCAATCCTCTTTATTAGGAATACCATCTTTCATCAGCACAAAATCAACACACTTCTCACTCAATCTCTTAAATTCCTTTTGAAACTTCAATGCACTTTCAAGCATAATATATGTGGAATTCCACCTAGTGGAAAAATCCAACTGAACAATTGATTTTTCTTGTAACCTAACTTCTTTAATGCAAGTTTTAAACCTATCCATACGACCTGGAGATGCACGAACATATCTAACAACATTCCTAATCTTACTAATTGAAGAATGATAGTCTTCTAGTCCATCTTGGACCACATGATTCAGAATATGTGCACAACAGCGAACATGCATATGTTCCCCTTTCAATGGATGAGAATTCCAATCGTTCATTGTATTTTTCAAGTAAGTTATAGCAACATCGTTAGAACTAGCATTATCAACCGTAATGGTGAAAACATTACCTATTAGCCATTCCTCCAAACATTTTTCAATTTTTTTGCCGATGGTTACTCCTTTGTGATTCACAATTGGACAAAAATTCAGAATCCTTTTATGGATTTTCCAATCATGATCAATGAAATGTGCAGTGAGACAAAGATAACTCAAATTTTGCACAGATGTCCAACAATCAGTTGTAAGACAAACACATTGATTTGATTTATTTAGCACACTTTTTAACTTATGTTTCTCACTCGTCTATAAATCCCAACAATCTCTAGCAATTGTAATCCTTTTAGGAATTGAGAGTTTAGGTTGCACAAAACTCATAAAATGAAGAAACCCCTCTCCCTCAACAAACTTAAAAGGCAACTCATCAACAATAATCATCCTAGCTAAAGCTTTCCTACATGCCTCAACATCAAAATGAACACCAGTGAGAACACTACCAGATCCATTCCCATCTTCTTTTTTCAATTGTTGAAGAACAAGTGTTTGTTGAGTGGGATCAAGAGACTCTTTTGGAAACTTCTTACACTGATGCAACAAATGGTGTTTCAAATTACTAGTGCCATTTCTTTGTGAATCAGAAACATATGTTACATCACACCAATTACACTTAGCTCTTGATCCTATTTTTGTAAAATGTTCCCAAGTCCAAGATCTAGGTTTAATAGGTTTTCTGTTACCTGAATCTCCAGCTACAACATTAGGATCATTGGATGTGACCAATTTTGAAGCTTCTCCAATATTTCTTTTCTTATTAGCATTTTCTTCATCATTGTTTGTTTCATTACTTTGTACCAATGGAGGTGGAGCTTCAGTTGTTTCACCCTATAAAATACACATGAAAAAATAAATTTTTGAACATCAACTATAATATTACACCATTGTAACAGTAACCAACATTTCTAAAGGTAAAAATCTCTACTTAAAATTAATTTTTGATACCAGAATAAGGTTGTTAACAATATCAGATTGAGTAATAGGACCAGTTTGGCTCATTCCTGTAAAAATAGATCAAACTTAAAATTAGAACAAAGTATAAACAACTAGTTGTAGAAAAAGCTAATAAAAATATATTATGAAAAAATTATGAAACAAAATATGAAAAACTAACAAAGAACAGACCTTGAAGAAATTATGAAAAACTAACTAAAATTTGTTACTGTTATAAGTAACCAACATGAAATGATTTCACATAAGAAAACTAATGAAAATAATTTTTAGTAAGCTACTGTTATAAAATTGAGAACATAAGTAAATTAGTTTTAAATAAGCTTTCAACAACACAAATTAGAACAGCTTTACAAAAGGCTAAAAATTTGAATAGCTTTAGAAAATCTGATCGAACAAAACTACAAAGTACAAAAAAGATAAAATCAAACAAATTAAGAAGCTTGCTTACTGATAATATAATTCAGAAAACTAATTGAGATGAATGTCTATTTAACATTATTGAATTTCTTGCTTGCGATATTGAATTTCTTGCGGTTACAACAATGAATAGCATTCATTGTATTTAATTTTAAGATGATTTAGAATCTGAATAGGGAAATTATAGGAATGATTGAGATTCTCTAGAGAAATTAGTGTTGGCTAACATAATTAATTTGGGAGGATGACTATAAATGATTCGATATTAATTTATTTTAAATAATAAATGGCAAGTAAATGGAAGTAATACCGGTTCGATTTGGACCAGTTCGGTTCTCATGAAGCCAACCGTAAACCGAACCGAACCGGTTGGTTATGCTACATGGTGATCCAAATACATCCAAAAAAATTCGATTTTTTTTTTATTTCGGTTTTTTCGGTTCGGTTTTTGGATTTTTTTTTTGATCGGATTGGATCTGAACACCCCTAGTATTATCATGCTCAGGAGATGATTTTCCGTTGATCCATGTCTTTGGATTAAATTTATTCTGCTTGTGCTGCATTTTTTTGAATTTTACAGGTTTATGGCTACGAACAAAATCCGTCACTATAGCCTTTAGTGATGGAAACGACTGTAGGTAAAAGTGTGGCAAAAAACAACAGTTACGGGGAAGAAGACAATTAGGTGGCAGAATCCTATTGGGTTATTTCAATCACGCGTGCGTTTGGGAAAGACCACTTTATTTCCTTTATATTTTATTTATGTTATTATATATACAACTAACCATCCCAGCAAATTTTGTTTTCTTACTTTGTTTCTACTGATTCAATGCATCATCATCCAAAATGCCTACCAAGCGCTACCACCATCTGGCCATTGGATGTATCAATAATTCAGATCCAACGCCTCAAACAATGAAGGACTATGGTGCACTCTCAGGCTGGCACAACACAGGCCCATTCTTTTCTTTTCTATTTTAATTTTTTTTAATTGTTTTACTAATTATTTTCCTTTATTAAAATAACACCAAAAAAACATTATTTTTTATTTAATCAAAAAATCATCAAAAAAACATAAAAATCATTTTTTTCATAAAAATATTTTATTTCTTTAATTAATTAGTTTAATTTGATTTAGGATAAATTTAATTCCTTTTTTATAATTAAAATTAATTAGAAATTAGGGTTTAATTTATACATAACCTAATTAATTTTTCTAAAAAAAAACTAACCTAAATCTTTTTTCAATTAGATTTTTTAGGTTTCCTAAATTATTCTCGCATTTAATTCGCCGCGCGCATTTTTTAATTTCCTTTTATTATTATTGTAACTATTTCGAGGTTGTAATAGTAATTAGGGTTTAAATTCCACATTTTTTATTTTAGTCCAAAATAATTATGTATCTGCAAAAGCCTTGTAATAGCTAGGACTTTAAACTTTCTTGCTTTTAATTCCGCAAACTATAAAGTGCTTAGATGTATGTTAATAGGAATGTATGGAAAGACAAACTGAAAATTAATACGGTAGAAAACCCTAAATGTGCAAAGATAAATTAACTGAAAATTACACTCGCACATGCTCACTCCTAGGGTTTGCCTCACTTGGTTGCCTCGGAAATAATGGTTGTGTCCCTCGAACGTAGGGATATCTTAGTAAAAGACCCTCAATCTAAAAGTCATCATAAAGATCATAGTCCCTTAACGTCCCTCGAGTTGCCTACAAGAAATGATCTTGTCCCTCGATGTTGCCTACGAATATATGATGACAGTCCCTTCGAAATGCTAAGGTATCCTTACATGTTGCCTTCAATAATCATTACGTCCCTTTCGATAGTCCCTCAAACATCCAACGACTAGGGTTACCTACTCACTAATAGTAGGATAACATGGTCTAAAGGATAGGAGGAAAAGAACGCCTTTTTTCGAGTAGGTAGATAACTATTAGGTACTTGCTCAAAACAACAAATCTTTTACACCATACACTTTCAAATAAACTTTTCAAACTAAAGTTTTCAAAACACTTCGTAACACTCTTGAGGACAAAAACAAGGGTTAAAACGAAGTAAAACAAAACTTTTCAAAGCAAAGCACACACAAGCAATTTCAAAATGAGCAAGTACCTAAGAGCCCGTGGAAAACCACGGATAGAAAGGGTGCTAACACCTTCCCTTTCTATAATCTACCCCCCGTACTCAGAAATCTCGAAAAAAGGTTTTTTCTATTCTTTTTCCTTTTCCATGATTGGATGAAATAAAAGTAGGTGGCGACTCTTGCTTACCGCGATATTTTGCGAACAAAAAATGCAAAACAGTAAAAACAGTCGGTTTTGCCACCGTATCACAAAACTGGCGACTCTGCTGGGGAATCTAAATAAAGTGGGGTTTACCTTAGGATCTATGTCATGTTAAAAATCGCTTTCTTGTTTGTTTGATTTATTCTTAAAAGGGTTCTTGCTTGGGTTACTATAGATCCTACACCCAGATCTGGGGGAACTTTTAGGTAAACAGCAATAGATCGTGGAGACTGTACGGTGTAGACCGATATGGTTTAAGCGATGGTTGTGTTGGTGTGGTAATTTGGCTGGTACTGGTATCCTTCACGGGGAAACGAGGAGAATACGGGGCCGCCGTGTGGCGTCGTGAAGCACTAATGGACCTTAGAACCTTAGTTGAACAAACTTGGCCATTAGAAAGTAGTGAGATATTGGCCTCAATGTAGAGCTAAGGATTGGTTGATACTCGATGATAAACTCATTGAGATCAGACTTTCGGGATATTTCAGCGGCAAGAAAAGATTACTTGAGTTGAGACAATGCTCGATAAAGGATGGTCAGTGATATTGAGATCCCTTAGAACCCGGTTACTTTTTAAGACAGGTTTGAAACCAACTAAACTTCAAGAGGGTACTACCTTAAACTCAATCAAGCCTTAAACCTAAGGATTTGGTGTGATTTGTTTGTGCTTGTTATACCTGTGATTTCTCAACATAATCATGACATCATGACATCATAAACATGGCATATCATACTAACCATTTCAAGGATCTCAAGGGTCTATGATGTAGGTCATGGCGGGCTAAACGTCTAGCAAGGGGCAAGGGGATTTATTTTCCTCTAGCCAATGTTGTCAAAGGATCTTGAGTCAGGGGCTATGACCCACTCGATATGGTGAGCATGACTCTTGAAGAAGGACTCTCAACGACACGAAGTTTCTTCAATCAAGCTGCAATCAAATTCTAACAGTTTCTTGTTTACCCCGCGAGATCCTTGAAAACATTGCATGTATATCATACACATCATTACAGGTTCCATTACAAGTTTCTCATATTCTTCACTATTTATTTCAGCAAAAATGTCTTCCGAACAAAGCATCAAGGACCTTCAGGCACAAAATGCCCAGTTCCAGCAAATGTTCATAAATCTGGCAAAAGGGCAGGAGGATCTGAAAGCCCTCATCCTGAAAGAGAAAAAGAAAAAGAAGAAGGTTGCTGGTATTCTAAATATAGGCAGAAGATCTAGAGGGTCGTTGAAGCAAAAAGTCGATCTGACTTCTTCATCCAAGGAAGGGGAGAATCAAGAAGAAGAGACAAGGGAGAAAGATTCCAGACCTGAAGTTTCTAACAATGATACCGACTACAATGATGAGAAGTATCCTCTTGCTAAGGATAGATACAAGCAGTTGGAAGATCGCTTGAATGCTATGGAGGTCCAGAGGATACCTGGGTTGGATTTCAAAGAATTGGGATTGGTGTCAGGAGTGGTCATCCCACAGAAGTTCAAAGCTCCAGTTTTTGCTAAGTATGATGGGGTGTCTTGCCCAAAACTCCATCTCCGTTCTTACGTCAGGAAGATTCAGCCTCACACCTCTGATAGGAACTTGTGGGTCCATTTTTTTCAGGACAGTCTATTTGGGACTCAACTTGAATGGTTCTATCAACTAGAGGGAACCAATGTCCGTAACTAGGAAGATTTGGCTGCTGCTTTTTACAAGCAGTATCAATATAACACTGACCTTGCCCCTACCCGTACTCAACTCCAGAGTATGTCCATGGGTGCAAGCGAAGGTTTCAAGGACTATGCGCAGAAATGGAGAGATCTGGCAGGGAGAGTCCAGCCCCCTTTGTCTGATAGGGAGTTGGTGGATATGTTCCTTGGTATGTTGTCTGGTCCTTTCTTCAATCACTTGATTGGTAGCTCCTCAACTGGTTTCATCGAGCTGATATTGACTAGAGAAAGAGTAGAAGCTGGGATCCAGAGTGGCAAGATCCAGAAAAATACCTCTTTGAGTACAGAGAAGAAGTCATTTGGTGGTAAGAGGGAAGCCAATACTGTGCACGGCCAGAAGGGGTGTAGCAAGGCAGACTACCACCAATCTGTGGGGGCAGTGCTGATCTCTAATTCGGCACGCGCGCAACGACCACAACAACGAAACAATCAGCCAATGGTGGAAAGACCTCAAAGGAAGTTCACCCAAATAAACATGACATTGTCACAAGCATTTCAACACATGTTAAAGATGAAGCTGATTACGGTGATAAACCCTCATCCGAACCTGAAGACTTCCTCTCCTAACTACAATCCGGAGGCAAGGTGTGCTTATCATTCTGACAGCCCGGGGCACGATACTAATG